AGAACTGGCCATTTTTCTCATTCAGCAATGTCTAAAGCCAGCTGAATGACCTTCACTTCTGCAAACTGACTCGATTCACCTTCTCCTTCAGCAGCTTCTGCAACTCGTCGCGTAGGACTCCATACAGCAGCCTTCCATCTCCGATGCTTCCCCACAATACAACAGAACCCATCAGTGAACAGGGCATATTTCTTTTCATTCTCTGGTAACTGGTTGTACAGTGGGGCTTCTTCAGCACGACCCACCTCCTCCTCTGATGATATCCCAAAGTATTTGCCTTCTGGCCAGTCCATAATCACTTCCAATATTCCTGGGCGACTGGGGTTTCCTATTCGAGCCCGCTGAGTAATCAGTGCAACCAACTTGCTCCATGTAGCATCAGTTGCATGATGTGCAGAGGAGACCCTTCCTTTGAACATCCAGCCTAGTACTGGCAATCGGGGTGCTAGGAGGAGCTGCACTTCAATACCGACCACCTCCAAAGCAGATCGAACTCCTTTGTATGCTGCCAATATCTCCTTTTCAGTTGGAGTATAGCGGGCCTCAGATCCTCTGTATCCCCAACTCCAAAACCCCAGGGGCCGACCTTGAGTTTCCCCAGGTTCTTTCTGCCAGAGGCTCCAGGTGGGGCCGTTCTCCCCGGATGCAGTGTAGAGCACATTCTTTACATCTGGTCCTGTTCAAACTGGCCCAAGGGCTACTGCATGAACTATTTCCTGCTTGATTTGTTCAAAGGCTTGTCGTTGCTCCGGGCCCCATTCAAACTCATTCTTCTTACGGGTTACTTGGTAGAGTGGGTTTACAATCAGACTAATTTGGGATGTGCATTCTCCAAAACCCCACAACACCTAGGAAAGTCTGTGTTTCTTTTTTGCTAGTTGGTGGAGACATAGCTGTTATTTTGTTGATCACATCCATTGGGATTTGCCGACGTCCATCTTGCCATTTTATTCCTAAAAACTGGATCTTTCGTGCAGGTCCTTTGACTTTATTTTGTTTTATGGCAAAACCGGCTTTCAGAAGGACTTGGACTATTTTCTTCCCTTTCTCGAAAACTTCCTCTGCTGTGTCACCCCACACAATAATGTCATCGATGTATTGCAGGTGTTCAGGAGCTTCCCCCTGCTCTAGCGCAGACTGGATCAGTCCATGGCAAATGGTAGGGCTGTGTTTCCACCCCTGGGGCAGCCGATTCCAAGTATATTGGACTCCCCTCCAAGTGAAAGCAAATTGTGGCCTGCACTCTGCTGCTAGAGGGATGGAGAAAAATGCATGAGCGATATCAATTGTGGCGTAACACTTGGCTGCCTTCGATTCAAGTTCGTACTGAAGTTCCAGCATGTCCGGCACTGCAGCACTCAGTGGTGGCGTGACTTCGTTCAGGCCATGATAGTCCACTGTTAGTCTCCACTCGCCATTAGACTTTCGCACTGGCCATATGGGGCTATTGAAAGGTGAATGGGTCTTGCTGATCACTCCTTGGCTCTCCAATTGACGAATTAGCTTATGGATGGGAATCAGGGAGTCTCGGTTAGTGCGATATTGCCGCCGGTGCACAGTTGTGGTAGCGATTGGCACTTGCTGTTCTTTGACCCTCAGCAACCCCACAACAGAGGGGTCCTCTGAGAGACCAGGCAAGGTAGATAATTGTTTAATGCCCTCTGTCTCTAAGGCAGCTATACCAAAAGCCCACTGGAACCCTTTTGGGTCCTTGCAATATCCTCTTCTAAGATAGTCTATGCCAAGGATACATGGAGCATCCGGGCCAGTCACAATGTGGTGCTTTTCCCACTCATTCCCAGTCAGACTCACTTCAGCCTCCAATACAGTCAACTGCTGGGATCCCCCTGTCACTCCACAAATACAGATGGGCTCTGGTCCTTTATAGCTCGATGGCATTATAGTACATTGTGCACCAGTGTCTACTAAAGCCTTATACTTCTGTGCGTCTGACGTGCCAGGCCATCGAATCCACACAGTCCAATAAACTCAATTGTCCCTTTCCTCCCCCTGGCTGGAGGCAGGGCCCCCCTAATCCTGGTCAGAATCTTCTTCGTTTCTGTGTTTGAAGGACTGTCTGCTGGAAGTTGGAGCAGCAAACTTTTCAGAGAATCCCTTTTTCCTGATTGTTTTCTTTTGCAACTCACGTACCCGTGCCTCTAGGGTCGCGGTAGATTTTCCATCCCATTTTCTCATGTCCTCTCCATGGTCTCGTAAGTAAAACCACAGGGTGGCACGGGGTGAGTACCCACCATATCGTCTTCCTTGTGTGGATGAACGCCTACCCCTGATAGCTGAGACACTGCTTTGTACAGGTGCGGAGGAGAATAATCTCTCTTCAAGTTGGTGAACCTTTTCAGAAAGTTTCTCCCAAGTGTTCTCTTTTGATCGGTGGACACTGGTTGGTTCAGGTGGGGTGGAAGATAGATTCTCTTCAAGTTGGTGAACCTTTTCAGAAAGTTTCTCCACAGCTGAGATGCAGGCCTGTAAGGAAGAGGAGAGACTTTCTTCGTACTGCCGGAGTTGTTTAGCCACTTCATCCACTGTGGGTTCCTCATCCTCTTTCCAGGCCATTATTGCCAATGAGCTGGCATATGATGATGGTGCACTCCGTACAAACTTCCGCCACATGGGTCGTGTACACCTGACTTCATCTGGATCTTTGGATGTTTGTCTGAGGTCTGGATCCTCATAAATCACTTCCCGTATGGCTAATTCCCTCAGGTACTGGATTCCTTTCTCCATAGTGGTCCACTTGCCTGGTAGACATAAAAGTTCTTCCTTGAAGGGATACCTTTCCCTCACAGCTGAGAGGAGAAGCCTCCAGAGGCTGTTAGATTGTGCTCCATCTGCAATTGCTTTGTCAATGCCGGCGTCTTGAGCAAGGGATCCCAGCCACCTGGCTTCCCTGCCATCTAATTCCACACAATTGGCTCCAGAGTCCCAGCACCGGAGCAGCCAGGTGACAAGCTGCTCACCTATACAACGACCAAAATTTTTTCGCACATCTCGTAGCTTGTGTTCGTATAGGCTTCGGGTAGTTACTGTTGATCTTTCGGCATCCTCATCTTCCTCCTCCTGAATCCTTGATGGCCCAGTGTTGTCGTCGTCTCTATACCTAGATTTGGCAGAAGGCTTTCTGCGTTCTAAACAACCTGAATCTCTATACCATTTTTTCACCTTCTCTACAGGGGCAGCTTGCACTGCTACAGCTCATTTCTCTGACCCCGTTACAGGGTCTGCCACAGGGGTTGGAATACCCTCCGCAGGGTCAACTTGCACTGCTACAGCTAATTTCTCTGACCCAGCCACAGGAGCTGGAGCAGCTGCAGGAGCTGGAGCATCTGCAGGAACTGGAGCTGAGGTGGATGCAGGAGCTGGAGCTGGAGCGGCTGCAGGAGCAGCTGCAGAGTCCACCGTAGGGGTCACAGTGGCCGTTGGATCTGTCACAGGGCTTGGAGTGGCCGCAGGGTCTGTCACTAAGTTGATAGTATCAATGGCAGCTCGATAGGCATGAGCCAGGCCCCAGCACGTTACAATGATTTGTGTTACTTTGGAACTGCCAGAATCATGACACTTTTTTTCAAGCATTCTGCCAATTTTTGAGGATTTTGCAGTCGTTCAGGGGTGAATTTCCAAAACAATGGGGGTGCCAACTGCTCTAGATGCCTGCCCATATCCTCCCACACTCCCTGCCACCCACAACTATACTGCCTCTGGGCAGATCTCCAGATGAACTTCCTAAGTAGTTGTTTAACTTTAAGCAGAATCTGAAGTGCATTCAGGAGGCAGAACAACAAGACTATGCTGGTCTGAGTATCCCAAGGATATTCAATATCTTGGAGAGCTATTGTAACAAGCTCGGAGGATAAGAGGGTGGTGAAGGAGGAAGGGAGAGTGATCAAGGAGGATACAGGGGTGGTGAAGGAGAAAGGGAGAGTAATCAAGTAAGAAAAAATATCTTCCTCTTTCCCCTCCACAGATTGACTCTCTAATGAAAAAAAACAATAGGTATAATTGCTAATAGTTTCCAAGATACAGTTTCCAAAGTACAGAGTCGACAATGTTACTGAGTACAAATACCAAGTTAGAGTCATGACCAGATATCTCATCGTCTCGTAAGCCATTGCTACGAGACAATGCAGTACCATAATGATCTGAGACCAGGGCCCGGAGAGGATAAACAACATGACAGAGAGCAAATACGGAAAATAATGTGCTCTAATACTCAATTTGGAAAACAGGCACAGCAGAGTTGAGATTAAAGCAATCAGCATTATGACAAGTGACTATTAAGCAGGTCTAATACTTACACCAATTTTAGTTTAACACCCTGTGGTCAGATCTGCCGTTATCTCAACCTTTCGGGCCCCATGTTGGGCACCAAAAAGACTGTCGTGGTTTAACCCGGCCGGCACCTAAACACCACGCAGCCGTTCGCTCCCCCTCCCCCTCCCTCTCTGGGACAGGATGGAAAGTGAAGCCCGTGAGTTGAGATAAAGACAGTTTAATAAGACAGGAAAATAATAATAACAATAATAACAATAATAACAACAACAACAACAATAAATAATAATAATAATAATAATAATAATAATAATAATAATAATAATAATAATAATAATAATAATAATAATAATACAATGGTGATAATAGTACTACTACTACTAATATGTACAAACAAGTGATGCACAATGCAGTTGCTCACCACCTGCTGACCGATGCCCAGCCTAACCCCGAGCAGTCCGGCCCCCTCCCCCCGGCTAGCCACCCCTATATATTGTTTAGCATGACGTCAGATGGTATGGAATACCCCTTTGGCTAGTTTGGGTCACCTGTCCTGGGTCTGTCCCCTCCCAGCTCTTACTGCACCCCCAGCCTGCCTGTTGGCAAGACAGAGCAAAAGGCTGAGATGTCCTTGGCTTGGTATAAGCACTGCTCTGCAACAATTAAAACATCAGGGTGTTATCAGCACTCTTCTCATCCCAAGCCAAAACACAGCATTCCACCAGCTACTAGGAAGAAAATTCTGTTCTAACTGAAACCAGGACACCACTCCTCTGTTGATACAGCCCAGGATGCAGTTGGCCTTTTGGCCTGCAAGTGCACGCTGCTGGTTCATGTCGAGCCTTTTGTCCACCAGAACTCCCAAGTCCTCCTCTGCAGGTCTGCTCTCAATGAGTGCTTCTCCTAGTCTGTCCTCATATCTGGGATTTCCCTGACTCAGGTGCAGCACCTTGCACTTGGACTTGTTGAACCTCATCAGGTTCACGTGGGCCCACTTCTCCAGCCTGGAACTTCACCTGAAATGCAGAAGGAAAAAAGAACATTACACTTTCATACCAGTATCAGTTCTAAATACTTCCAATGAAAAGTTATACAGAAAAGTTATAAACATTATGTGGGGTGCTTTTTAACCCAAGTAACAAAGATCTTTCTTGTACTCTATCTTTCACTATAAATAGGCTAGGAGGAGGAAGAAATACGTCCACATTTTGCAGACTGACAACTTGGCTTACTGAGAAAAAGCATATTGCCTGTCTTAAAAACTGAAATTCAGATTCCTTTCTCTTTTCCTCTTCTGTCAACAGTGCAGCAGCAGATTTAAATACATCTAAATGAACAAGATCTACATACATCTTGCATTATCTAGTTGGTGTTCCTTTGTTTCTCTATTATTTATCCCTGTAGATCAATTGTTGGTGAGACCATGTCACACCAAATTTACTGTGCATTTATTAACTTTAAATTTATTAACTCTTTTGAGACTAGAAATACTTCTTGCCTTTAGTTTTCATTAGTTTAATTAGCTATCGATAGTTTAGCTGTTCATAAATGAAAGGAATGGCATATGTGAAGTCTGAAAGTTTTCCCACAATTTTATACCTCTTTTTGCTTTATAGTCTTGGCCATATTGCCAAAGGCTCATTAAGGTAGTGAAGCTTAATTCTTCCCCTCCTACAGACATGATTTCTTCAAAACAGTGCTGCTGTGCATTCAGAAGAGATACTATGGGGCAAAAGCTCAGCCAGGTGTTTCAGATCTCTGGATAAGGTTTCCATCTTCCAGACTCAGCCATGAAAACAAAATCTTTTAACAGATTGATTTCATTTTACTAAAGATAATAATCAAAGCTTCAAGCAGCCTGGAAACCATGTTACCTTCTGAAGAAGAAAGAGGACATTCTGGTATTTCATAAGCCGTCGGTGCTTGAGGAGAACTTGAACTCATTTCCTTAGAACTGCTATGAGATGATCCCCTTACTGCAGCAGTAGCTTTCAAATAAATATCTGACTGAAATCACAAAGAACTCATCATTAGTACAGCAAAACTTTCTTAAACACTTGCTGAAGAAGAGCTTAAATGTTTGTCCACTATGTTCTATTGCCACTGTTGCTGTATTGCTGCTAAGTTAACTACAGCTGGCCACAGAAAGGCTATCTCACTGTAAATGGGGAGAACTTCTGTGATGTTCAGAAGAGCATTTGCCCTGTAAATAATCAAATACTTCAGCTCTGCATTACTGCAAGCAATAAAGGACAGTTAGATCAATATTGATTCTCACTGTACTCACTACAAGCTAAGAGCACACAAATTAACAGTTAATGCAAATCAGAAAATGTGTCAGTTTTGGTTTGGTTTGGGCTTCAGCAACTCTTTATGTGAATTAGGTCCCAACACCTCACAAATAGTCAAACATGCTTTTCTCGTGTCTTACCCTTGATACTGCAAGCTGAAGCTCAGGCACAACTGCTGTGTGGACTAAGTTTCCACTCACCACTAATCGGATCTCAATGGAATCAGTAGTGAAGGCAAGGATAGAAGGGAAAGCACAGACTGCAATGAAACAAAAATTATTTTGCAAGGAAGAATGATTAATGTAAATGTTTCTCAGATGCTCCCTGAAAACAATTCTTGAGTATCTGACCTACTCTGGTATCTCCCTTTCCTATGACAAGATTTGTCAACTGTACTGATGGACATTCAGATACAAGCCTGAAGAAAACTTCACTCTCCATGCCTGGCAGAATATAAACTGAATGGAAAATAAAAAACAGAAAAAAGAGAAAGGAAAAAAAAAGTTTATCAGAGGAAAAACTTGGCCCCAAGGCTCCACTTATTAAAGATACCATATGCAGAATCTTAGCTGAAGTGGCATCATGAATGCAACACACTTAGAGAATCACAGAATCATCTAGGTTGGAAAAAACGTTCAAGTCCAACAATCAACCTGACCTACCAAGTTCCATCATTATGTCCCTTGGTGTTGCAGGAAGCACGGCTGAAAGCATGACAGATACCAGTAGAGTCAGATCATGCTCCATTTTATTGCTCGAATAGCCTAACTTTTATAGAGAACTTAACAGGGGTGGATAGTGTTTCACACAAAATTATTGGTCAGATAAAAAAACTACAAGAAAACAACCCCACCTGCAAGAAAACAACCCCTCTTGTGATTAGCAGTCACGTAGACCTTGTCCTTGAAGCCAGAGGCTGGTAACAGTATTTTTTTAAATTCCTCAATTGGGCGATGTGGGAACACTGTCAGGGGAACTTCTCATAGTTGCCCTGGTAGCTTGGTTTTCTCAGCTGCAGCAAGCCATGGGATTTTTGCTGTTTCAAAAAATCCTTCAACACCTTGGTGTTATGTCAACACCTCTCCAGGGATAGGGATTCCACCACTTCCCTGGGCAGTCCATTCTAATGGTTAACCACCCTCTCCATGAAGAAATTCTTATTTATAGGAATTTATTAACCCATATTTATTAAATTTTATTATATTAAAAATAGATGTATGTATGTTAAATTATTTTTATTTTTATATTTATTCTTATATATTCCTAGCACACATGCTGCAATTCCACCAACAGCCAAGTGCAAGCCTAAACAGTAATGAAAAAGGGTAAAAGAGGTATGTTCTTACCAACAGCATAAGGAACTTGATTCCAGATAAAGTGAAAGTCGTAAGCCGATGACTGGACGAGTGGAGAACCTCCATTAAAAGGATACACCTTTCTATATTGGCAAACATATGTAACAAAAAAAGGAAAAAAAGAAACCTCCAATATCTTACAGCACAAATGACAAACACCAACATTATAGGTAGATTTTACAGAAGTGTGGATAATGCACAGATAAATATCAAACACTTATGTAGAAGTCCCTCTATATCTAAACAGACCATAAGGGAAACGTGCTTCCTTTGTGAATACATTTACAAGATAAAAATAGTAGTGCTACATTTTAATAACTTGTCAGATTTCACAAAGTAAGTATTGTTCTGTTTCAGCAATCATCAGCTCCTTACTTTGTCTATGGATGGAGGAATAGTTAAGAACATTTCTGAAAGTGATGTAAGCAGAGCTGTACCCCTCTGACTGTAAGTACTACCCTTCAAGCAGCTACATACTAGCACAGTTTGTGTTCTTTGAGGATTGTAATACCCATGGGATACTACAGATACCAAGATTTCATTAATCATATAACTTGTGAATCTACTACTTCTCTATTTTTAGGTAAAATCTCTCTTTTTTTTTTTCTTCTGTAATCGCTGTCCTTAAACTTAAACTAACTTTATATCCACAAGTGTTAAAAAAAGGTCTTGTTTGAAATCCAAACTTAGAACACTGTCAAATCATGTGTTTTCATACTTGTTCCATGATGATACTTTCATAATTGTAAAACTGTCACAAGACCATAAGAGGTTTCCCTGTGACAGGGCCCTGCAAATAGGGATTCAAGTTGCTGCAACCCTGTGCAACAGGCGTTAGGACCTTAGAATCAACCAAGTTTGTTAGCTTTGGCTCTGTGACGAGCCTACTAGAGTAGGACTGATTCTGCACAGAAGTACAGGTTTGGGAATTCACACTACTCTGTCTCAGACCTTCTAGTTCTGAAGCAGTACTGAGTGAACCAGAACTAGGTAGGATTTGTTAAACTACCGAAACCAATGAGGCCTCACAGAGCATACAAAGATACGCTTTAGAGACTTTTTCCCTGTGGTACCAATCTAACGGCCAATGCTAGAATACATAGATGTATTTATCCTGTTTCCATCAATGCTCTCTTTGGAAAGGCAAATAGGGCATGCCATCTGAAACAGAAAGTTGTGCTTTGTCCTTCAGCATCGCCTCATGAAGGACATTTCATACTCATAACTTTGATTTTCCTAAGGACTGAAAGCAAAACTACATGTGTACAGCACAGAAGAGCATATCCATATGAAATCCAAGGCCATTTTATAAAAAGAGATTAAGAGAATTACAATTTTAAAATGTGCCAGCACAAAGAAGTGTGCAGAAGGAAAGAGAGCACAATGACAGAATGGGAAAGCACAAAGAAGAAAAGGGGTGGAATACTAATTTGTACATGTCCTAGAAACACCCAGTGTGAGACTAGGCAAAGAATAAGATAGATCTGAAGAAACAGGACTTTTGTGAGTAAGATGGTAATGTCTGTCCAATTACACACACCACAATAAAACAGTACTTCCATTTCTAGTCCTTCTAATATGCACTTAAATTGAAAAAAAAAAAAGTATTTTGAAATACTTTCCATGAAACACTGAAACTTTAAAATACAGATCTAAACTCCAATGAAGAAAGAATTACATGTTGAAATATTATCATTTCCAGCCTTCCCTAACTACTTACAGTTATAACATAACAGTAGGCCAGCTTCACCATCTTCATATACATCAATAGCTGCAACAAAATTTACCTGCAATGATAATAGGAAAGGGTAATGATCAGGCAGATAGGATACTGATGTTACTATGACCAGGTTTTGACTAAGAAGCAATCAAATCAGTTGGTGCACAATTACAGATAAAAGAAAAAAATATATATTTCTTTTTTGTGATTCATTTTCAGGATGCTGATAGGATGGAAATCAATTTCTTTTGTATTCAATGCTGTATTTCAGTAATGCATATTCAATTTTGTACCTTCAGTATAAATACATACCTACAGTATAAAATGATACAAACATACCTAACTTACTTGACAATATAAATTTTGGGAAACTGAGTTATTTCAGGGTAGCTTTGAATTAACATGCTATGCTAAAAATAGCAATTCTTTCCAAAAAGTGAAATCTAAAAAGCTTGACTGAAAATCATGACTAGCAGAAAGATCAAAAGTGTCAATTACTGGATCAAAACCACTAACAGGTACATTGATTGACGTGGATGTACTTCGAGAATTACTGAATAAGCTGAATTTAGAAACTGAGAACCACTGCTGGATAAACTAAAATGGTTTTTGCATAGCATAGGCTACTTATATTCTCATACTTTAATCCTGTCTTTGTCTTTTACAGTTAAATTAAAAGAAAAACAAGACACCCATGTATATAGTAGTATATACATTCAGAAAGGAGACCTCCCTGATGAAATACTTAAGACTGGATTAGACAAATGTCTCCTAGACCACATTATTTGCTACTTGGGCAGGGCTGGAGATTGACTTCATGAACTTCATGGCTTTCCTTTGTGCAATAAAGTAGGTGTTCTCTTGATTTAAGACAAATATAAGGCAAGAACTGTTAAACAGACCTGGAAGCTTATATATATCTATACAAAACACTTTTTGACCCATCCTTTGTAGCAACTGAAAGACATTTCTGCTTTGTGACCTGTGGAAATAATTTGGTAACCAATTTCAACAACACAAAAATCACTAGCACAGATCTAATTAACTTCCTGCTTTGTCTGTGTTCTCAAAGGAAATAAGGGTTACTGGGGAAGAGAACAGAGGGGGGCGATTCTTGACTGTCCACATTCTTTAATTTTATTTCCTTCTTAATCCAGATTAAAATAGATTCCCATTGCTGTGGAGAATCTTAACACTGTATTGCCAATGCTAGGAGTACCAACCCTCTTCATCATCAAATCTGAATAAAAACACAGATGATTTAAAAAAAAATCAACAAGAAGCATCAAATCAAAAGAGACGTCCCTTATACCATTATGAGCAGAGAAGTCAACAGAACACAAGAGTAACCCTGTAAAAGATTCTTCTTTTTTTTTAAATTACGCTTAAAGCTATACATTCACATCCATATTAAGAAATTATTGAAATTATTTGATTTTCAAAATGGTGAAGATCATTATCTTCCCAGCAACAGGAAACATTTGAACCCTTTTCCAAAAATCAGGATGTTTACTTAAATCCCAACCCTATGTCCCAGTTAGTAAGATACAGTTAATGTATTACTTGGCTGGGCAGCAGTTTAGAACTAAAAGATATACGCAAATATTTCAGTTTTAGTACATGCAAATAGGCAAATCTGAATGAGATAATGGTGGCCAAAACCTGAAATTATTTTGCTGCAACCTCCTAAAGAATAAAACACTGAGACCATGAAGAAAAGACAAAAATAAAAATATTGACTAAGGAAGGAGAAAAAATGGCTTTGCATTTATACTGACAACAATATTCCAGAGCTTGAAACACAGGCTCTTTCCTAATATGTCATACCTTATAACTACCTCTCTTAGGAGTGATTATTATCACACATTCCAAAAGGAAAAAATGCCTCCGAGTACTCTAAAGTAGAAGTTAAAAAAAGTGAAAAGTAAAGGAGAAGAGAGGATCTCCGTAAATGCTGCTCCCAGGAGGTCAGCACAGCATGGACCTATAAATAGTTTAAATGCTAGAAATTTACTTTGTTTGCTTCAACATGATGCAGTCTATAGGACTCCCCAATACTTTCATTAACTAAATCAAACTGATGCCGATATGCCACACAGATCATATCGTCACTGTCTCCAGTAGGTCCATCCACCAGTGTCATAACCACTGGAGGGTCAGAAAGGCGTATCTCCTATGAGATAAATAATAGTATTATTCTCTTTTTCAGGCTCTTAGTGTGAATATTGAATTACTCCATGAATTTACAAGGATGTAATCTAAGCAGAGAAGCATGATACAGAACAAGATGACAATTTAAGAAGTCTGAAATATTTCTTTGGCATATCAATGATGGATCTCCATCGTATTGCTTCTCATTTACATCTGTCTGGAGGTTCCAGACGATAAAATGCATGCTCTTTGCCTTTTTCCTCCACTAGCTGAGTGCTGCCCAGTCTGTAAAAGTGATTAGTGATTAGATTACACATACCCAGATGTACTGGAACTCGTCTACTGGAGATTCAGGTAATGACAGCAGAGAGCTGCTGGTTAAACTGTTGCATGGATTGTATTTCTTTGTGATGAGAAGTAGTTTGTTCCCAATAGCCACAACAATCCTCAGTTCACTACCATGGTGAGTATTAATGGCATACAAATGGCATCCTAAGAAAAAAAACAATTTAGGTTGTAAGTATTTGGGGTAAAGACTGTTTTTTTTTTATTTTTTAATTTTTGTTCTGTATTTGTATGATGGTTAGTACAATGGGTATCTGATACCTAAGCAACACACAATTACAAACATCTCAACAGGATAATATTAAATTCTAGAAAAAGACAAGAGGCAGGAACTCTTTTGAAAACAATTTTCCCCCGTACTCCTTTTGCAAGTAAAAGAGTAAATATGTTTTTTTCTTTACTATTCTGCAGTTTCCAGCTTTCCAAGGAAGCTTGATGCTGAATATCGGAAAATGTTTACATCTACTAAAATAATCTGCAATACCCAAACTATTCTAAGCATTATTAATTAAAAAAGATTTGCCATTGTTCTTCTACCTCACAGTGACCTTTATTTCAGTCTTACATCCATGCGTAATTTTTCTTACACCCCTCAATCCTGAAAGCAACATATCTGTTTTTCACCAGAGCTTTTCATCAGCAGTGATTGCCAAGTAACATGGTATTTTTTTTACCAAGTTCTCAAATGACAGGCTGGACTGTACCCTATGTTATTTTCACACATAAACTTAAAGTTTGAATTAACTGTCCAGGGATAAAACTAAAGGTGAATACCTACAACAGCCTCAAGGGAGCTAATAAACCCTGGCAACTACTGGCACAATACCACAGTGGACACTTTTAATACAAGATAATAAAGCTACCTTTTGTTCTCTCCAATTTATTTTCTCTGCAGTCATATTTGCTTCTTATCATCTGCTTTGTTTCTGTATCTTTTTGGACAGCACTCAATCTGAAGACAAGGAGACGAGAGTCTTTTCCTGAAGATGGAGAAAGTCAGGAAACAGCAAATTAGAAAAAGACAGTGGTGGTTTGAAATTAATACTTCCAAAGAGATGAATCACCTAACAGACAGCATTGCCATAAAAGCAAAGTTAAACAATTTTGCTTCTCTGAGTGTAAGCAGCAATGTGACAGGAAGACTGTTCGTGAACTCTATCTAGACTCTACAGTTCCAGTAAGCAACCCTTTCAGTTCACTAGCAGAGTTTCCCATCAGATGGAGCTGTGGCAATAAATAATAGGAGCCTCAAAACAGTGAAACCTACACTGCTAGGAGACGGTGAAAATACGACAGATACAAACTAAAGGCAAGAGAAGAAGGGTTAACTTTAAATTCTGGAACCATCCAACCTAGCAGCTGATATCTGGATCCTTAACAGAGTCTGAAAACCTTTTGGATGTGGACTGGTTTTGCTTATCAGTTCTTCAAAGTTAGGCAAGTTAGGTTCAAGGCATATTCCAACTGCAAAAATAGCACAGCATCCACCACCACGGCTAAATGTTTTTTTCCACAAAGATAGACATGAGTGGAATACACAACTCTGAAATTTAAAATAAATAAATAAATAAATGATACACTACTATTTGCAGTTGGAAATAAGCTATTGTTAAGAGTAGTTTCTTAACTAAAAGCCAAGTTTCTTAAAATGGAAGTAAAACAAGATTTTCTGACAAAAGTATACTCTCTTACTAGTCTAGCTGGTATAGCTGGAAACATAAGCACGCTTTCTTAATATACATGTATAGTCAGTGTGGATCCAACCATAAATACAAAAGCAAGATCACATGTGCTGCCTTCAATTCTGATAATAGATAAACATGAATCCAGCTTCTGGAACCTTTATGACCTTCTTTTCCCATAGAAAGTGTAAGAGAAAAGAAGATGCAATGTTTCCTTAAGTCCACCACAACTTGAAACACTGATCAACCAGCAAATTCTTACTGTCAACACCGATAAAAGGAAAATGAAATATATGCAATCTCTCTCTTTTCAAGAATGTACATACAAGAATGCGTGCTTCCATGAATGAGTTCATGGAGGAAGAATGGCAAGCAAAATTCACCCTTTTGAAAGGAAGGCTAGAAAACATAAGCTAAATCAAATGTTCAAGAACAGCGTTACTACTCATTAATTCAGCTCTGTCTCTTTGTCAGGTGTGTCCTATAGGATGCATCCTAGAGATTGCACTCCTCAATGCGTTCCTCTTTCAGGATACTAGTTGTTTTGCAAATGTCCCAAATAACCCCACTGCGGTGTTACATCTGTGGCTGCTCATGAAACTGACTATCATCCAAGCTTTTCTTTGGTGTCGTTTTTTTTTAAGAGAGTTTTTCTTCACCTCCTACAGACTTGATTATTCCAAGTGAAGGAGCTCTTCCTCCTTCCCCCTCACCATGTCTAAGTGTTTCACAAAATAAGTTGTAGCAAAAAAATAAACAAACATGTTTGGAGGACAAAGTGGATCCACTTGGAGGACAAAGTGGATCCACTTCTATAACTCATCTCTCATTACTAAGTCAAATTTAATTAACATTAGAAAAGAGAGCACTGCTACCTAAGCAATTTCTGCATCTGTCATTAATACCAGATGTATTGTTGGTGCCTGAAATACCCCCTTCTTTTGGTATGCTGACCTGAAAAATCTCAGTGATAGCATTATCTTCAGTTCTAGTTTCACTGTTAACATTTCCTCTCTCCCAGAAATGCAGAGGGTACTAGAAAGCAGTAGAAACAGGATTTTCTTCTGAAATGAGCTACCTTAAAGTGCTCTCAAACCTGGTTGTTAGAACTGAGTGCTGGATAATACCACATTCTATAGGAACATTTTCATAACACAAACATCAGTCTTTCTGCTTGAGTCTTAAAATACCAGTTCTACATCGATGCACTTAAAGTACATCAGAAGGACGCATTTAAAGTACATACAAAATTAACCTTTTAATATATTATTGTATCCTAAAAAACCATATAGTCTTTAATACCAATTTGTACACCCAATATAAGATTGCTTTTACCCATCTAACATTTAACTAGACTAAGGCATAATCTGAAAATAAAGGGCAATGATAACTTCCACTCCAGATCTCAGTTTCACTATGGTATACAAATACAAAACAAGAGGCAAGGATACTAGCAAGAACAAAAGACCTTTCTCTCCTCTAAATGATTCAGAAAGCACCCACAACAGCAGTCAAAAATCTCTTCAACTTTTTACACAAAAACTCTTTATCAAAATATGCTTGAAGCATCATGAATTGATGCCAGTAATGCCTAATCCTGTTACCTCAAAATGGCTTGTAACATCTCTCTCTTCAGGTTTAACCAATCATCACAGAGTTTTGACTATTAAATGCAATTATCTATTCTAGAAGTTTCATAAACTAAGCTTCAGATACAACTACCCTTTTCAGATCTTCAAAAATGTCACCCACCCGCCAGGTGTCTTCAGAGATGACTGCAAATGCCTCTCAGGTAATCTCAGCTGGTTCTGCAAGGGTTCCAGGATGAATTTCATCAGGTCCAGCCAAAATGGGCAACTCCCAATGATATGAAAGGAACCACATTTTACCCTTAGCTTGGGTAAATGTCATTTCAGCTAATATTGAGCAAACAGACATAATGTGGTAAAAAACAATAAAACAACCAGATTTCTAATTATTTTATCTGTGTTACACATACAGATCCTGTTCTTGCACTGTGCGTATTCACTTCACAGACTTTTGGGTAAAAAGTACCTAACTGAAAAAGTGCATATTTTAGGGACATTTAATCCTTTTGAAAAGAGGGTAAAAAAAAGTAAAAATAAAAAATTGTTTGGACAGACGGGTTTTAAGGTTTTTTTTTTGTTTGTTTTTTGTTTTTTTAATACCAGAATATTTAAGAGAATATAATCTATAGCACTAGAATGTGGTTACACATCACAGAACAAAAACCAGTAACACATTTGGTAGAACAGTGACAGCATAAGTAATTTCCTCCACGTTTTTGTACAACTGAACAAACACATTATTCAGCTAGGGAGATTTCCAGAGTGTTGAGTTCTAAGAGTAGCTGGAGACCAACTATATACTGGTGGATGACAAATCTGACATGAGCCAGTAATGTCTACCTTCAGCCCAGAAACTTAATCATATCCTGTGCTGCACAAAAAGAAGTGTGGCCTAGAAGGTCGAGGGAAGTGATACTCCCCCACTTCACACTGCCCCTCTAAGATACAACCTGGAGTACTGTGTTCAGCTCAGGTGCGCCCAGCACAAGAAGGACATGGACCTGTTAAAGTGGATCCAGAGAAGGGTCACAAAAATGATAAGAGGGCTGGAACACCTACAAGAAAGGCTGAGAAAGCTGTGTTCTTTTAACCTGGATAAAAGAAGGCTCTGAGGAGACGTTATTGTGGCCTTTCAATACTTAAAGGAGGCTTATAAGAAAGAGAGAGAGAGACATTTTACAAGGGCACGTAGTGACAGCACAAAGCGTAATAGTTTCAAACAGAAAGACGGTAGATTTAGCGAAGAATTTATTCCTTTTATCTAATCTATGAGAGTGGTGAGGCACTGGAACAGGTTGCCCAGAGAAGATGTGGATGTCCCATCTGAAGTGTTCAAGGTCAGGCTGGATGAGGCTTTGGGCAACCTCATTACTGAA